AAATCGCGCCGCGACCGAAATCGCGTGAGGTATGCCTTAGCCCTTAGGCTTCAGGAGTCTTTTGCGGCCTATTTACAATGCGTTAACGGGGCAAAATGAAAAACTCCTGGGCCTAAAGCCTAAAGCCTTACATGCCGCCGGCACAATTTTGCTAGAGTCAATCAGAGCAGAGATTAGCTCCAAACTGTGAAGCAGGCTGCGATGAAGTAACTTGCTTAACAACTCTACGACCGATCGAGACAAGAGTAATGAATATTCAAAGACTGAATGGACGAGGACTATTAGCGGTACTCAGAGGACAAGCACGCTATGAAGCGTTTATTTGCAGATTCATACTTGCAAAGCTGCTTCCACAAAAGTGTGCGCGTACGAAAAGGGAGAGTTTCATCTACTTATTGCTAAGCTCTACACGATAGATACCACCATGTACAGGTGAGATTCTTTTCCTGTTTTCTGGTTCCCTGTAAGTCTCCTAGCGGTGCTTTTGATACAGGTAAAAGTATAATTACGTGCGTTTCAAGCCATCTTAAAATACATTTTCAGCGGAATTTACGCTTGATCGGAAATTTTGCAACATTGATTTCCGCACAATCTAATACTCTATTGTCAATATCTTCCTAGATAGATTTTGTGTTATAATTATGCTGAGGATATCCTTTTTGCAGTAACTCATACATTCACATAATCAAATTCCAAACTTTGTTGTAGTGAAGGCTCCAGCTTCTATCATCATTCCCATGCATTGTATGTGCCATGCATGTATTTATTAAGCATAGTGCTACGCCACATATAAAGTAAAAATTATGCTTCGTAGAGCTTCACCAGCTTCCTCCACCACCTCCTCCAAATCCTCCCGTAGATCCTCCTCTTCTGTTGGGTAAACGAGTCGGTATTTTGAGGCTAATTACAACTCTTGGTTTATGCCTGGGGTGACGTGCGGATTGAGAAATAGATCTGCAGTCGGTACGATTCATAAACTTACTTCTTTCTAGTAGCACCAATCGTAATAACGATAGGAGAAAGCAGGAGCATGATGACAAGGAACAACTTCATCTGATGATCGGTTCGCTTCCTATACGCAGCTGTCAATCGATCATTTTTTTACGAGAATGACGAGTTTTCGTATGACTAACCAATAGAGCACAAGTTTCCTGGCGGCGTTATTAAAACCCATACTTAGAAATACTAAGAAACATGTTCCTTGTGGCATTCTGTTGAAGAACTCTAATCGTGAAAATAGTGCGCTAATTGATTGGGGCATTAACGACATTTCATGTTTGGAATTCCGTTCAATACACAGGCTGCAGTGGCGGTCCCAGGATTTTTGTCCGGGGGGGGGG